TAGGTATAAAAGTCTCAGACAGGGAGTATGTGAACTGGACTCCGTTCTCTGACAGGCAGGGTGACCCAGGACAGGACAAGTGGGGCTCTGACAACTTCAGGGGCCTTATGGCTGAGGAGCTGTTCAACACCATTCTTCGTCAGATTCTGCAAACCTGAATGAGGACAGCCAAGGAGTTGCTTGTATTTTTAAGTTGCTTCCTTAACAATACAAAGTCAACACCGAATCAGATTAGAAGGGAGCCCATGCCACATACTGAAGGAAACATTTTCATGCTTTTTCTCCTTTATCTACTTATTAAAAACAATTTACTAACCTTGCAGGTGACTTTGTCTTTAAGCACACCACTCCTGTCAAGGAGAGCTGTGTGCTCTCATTGTAGACCCCGTTGGGAGCCCTGGCAAGAGAGTCAATAATTTTTCCTCATAGGTACACATAAATGCATTCTAGAGAAGTCATGTGAAAACCTAATCAAATTTGCAACACACCAACATGTTTAATATTTAAGATCCCTTGAGTTAATTTGTACAGTGAAGAATCACCTTATAAACCAATAATTACCCTGTGGTCCTGCAATGTTGCTTAAAATGAAACCTGCCTACCTGGGTTTCAAAGCTTCTATTTCCAGAACAGTTTAGACTTCACAATGAAGATCACTCCTTCTAAAACATGACCCTTCCAGGGCGAGCCGTTCTCATTCCTCCATGAAGCACTTATGCCTGAAATCCAAATGGAAAGTAAGAGTCAGTGAAAGTCACTCTCCTTCTGTTGGAAATGGAAGTTACTCCAGAGACACTAGATTTTGGTTTCACCATTGGTTGAGGCTCAATAATTGCCAGCTGGATGGTGAACCAATACTTGGGAGTCAGGAGATAGTATATTCACAACTGACCAAAGCCTGGCTTCTTTTCTTTTTTTCTCTTAAATGCATGTCAGTGGCCTCCCCTGGGCTCCCTGTCTATGCCACCCTGCAGGGGGCACATGTGGGTTGCAGGCTCTCAGTCAATATCTTATGATAACAATAGCCATCATTGTGAGGATCCCCCAACAGCACTGGGTGTTTTACAACACAACCAAAAACTAGGCACTAGTGCAAATTTTAATTGGTAGTTGGGAAATGTGTTAAGATGTTTTTATAATCAATTTGTAGATCAATGTTCTAAGTATATTTGGAAAAGTACATTATCCATTTGTGCAATACAAATATGTGACATGGTTTGCATCCTCTACTAACTTATTGGTTGTTGTCCACGTGATTTGTTGCAACACACGTTTGTTGACATTACTACAACAACGGTGCTTCCCTCATTTTCTTTTTCGTTGCTAAAACTTTTGTTAATTACATTTGATGCTTTTTTTAATCACCATAGAAGTGTGCAAAATTGTCATACTTTCATTGTGAATTTTTTCTTTTAGCTGTTTTGACCTTGAGTTCCACCTTGTCTCCTGTTCATATTCACACTCCTGTCTCTTTTTGTTTGGATTCATTCACTATATCATTGCCTGTTGCCTTATTTTTAATATTTTTGGGTTAACTGGGTACACTAAAGCAGTATTTAAATTTTACTCTTAACCAAATGTGAGTCTGTGATTCAAAATAAGAGTTCATCCCAAGCATTTTATTAACATAACTTATATGCTTAGTTTTATTTCTGCTATTTTGTTTTATGGTCCTTTTTAATACACCTTTATATTGACGTTACTTTTTAAATCTGACTTTTCCCTTGTGATTTGGAACTCATATCTACTATTTTCATTCTATTAGGAATGACATTTAATAAGTATGCATTGGAATCTACTTTCTCTAATTTTCATGATCAAAAACAGGCCCGGCATAGGTGGCTCACACCTGCAATCCCAGTGCTTCGGGAGGCTGAAGCAGGAGGATCACTTGAGCCCAGGAGTTCAAGGTTACAGTAAGCTGTGATTGTACCACTGCACTTCAGTTTGGGCAACAGAGCAAGACCCCCACTTCAGGGGGAAAAAAAAAAAAGACAATATAAATTGATCCTTTTCTGTGTGATATGAGGAATATACTCCACTTATACATCTTGTCTTCTGGCCATTCAATTACCAATTTTTAGTGACGCAGTACGGAATTTGAACTAGATAGCTATTACTTAACATTTTTAACCATGTGTCCTCTTTTGGAAATTATTTTTGGCATTTTCGTTGTGTTTCCATGTCCTATTGAGAATTACATTAATTTTGTTCTATAGTTTGTTTTGGGGGAAGAGGTTATTTGTTTATTTTTATTAGTATTTTATATCATGAATTCTCCATTTTTGGATTTGATATTTTGATTTCTCACTCAATTGGCTTAAAAATAACTCACTAAGACGTTTCTTGTTTGCATTTTTTGTGGCTTGTTGTCTGTCCAGACCCTCATGTGGGGTCTGAACTTCTTAAGTTCACAAGAGGATGCAGTTTTTCTGTGCTGGGATCTCAATGTCCACATGGCAGCTAGGGGAACCAAAATGGGAGAATCCAGGACAGACACTTCAATTTAAATTTCAGATAAACATGAAATAACGCTTCTGGTATAAGAATGCCCCTAATATTGCCTGGGCATCCTGCATTTGATCTGGAACCCCCATGTGGGTTACCTTCCTTTTCTTGGTCACATTTCTGCAACTGTTGGTCATTGTCTTCATGTTACAAAGAAACAGGAACCAAGTTTTATTGCCTTGATCATCACTAAATTTTTTTTATTATTCTTGAAATTAAAATAAATTATCAGGGTAAGTCTGGGCAAAAAAGCCCTTCATTATTTTGTCTAGATTTCCGAAAAGTCTTTCTTTAGTTTGGGAAATTTCCACCAAATAGTTCTTTAATGATAGCTCCACTTTTGGAGGTTCTTTCTCTGAAATGCCTAATATTTATAAATTAAATATATCTCAGCCCATGCCTTTGCTATATTTTCTTTCATTAACATTCTGTTATCCTCTTCCTCTGACGTCTGTGATGTCAAATTTGACTTCTCTCTTATAAAACCTGTTCTACTGAAAGGTGCATTTTGCTCTCCCCTTCCCCGTTTCCATTTCTGAAACGAACATTTTTTAAATCTTCTCACAGCCTTCCCTACCCTGTTTTTTTTATTTTCTTTATGGTTCTCTACTCGAATTTCATAGAAGAAATGCTCATTTGAAGTTTATTGGAAACACAAATCAGAAGTGTTCTCAAAATTTTCCCATCTCTTGCAGAAACTGTATTTTATAGGAAAATATTATCCCTGATTCCTCAGAGTGCTGCTTATTTTTGAACTGTGCTATCTTCCCATTCTCCTGGTGATTTTCCTCTGTGTGTTCGACATTACAGAGGGAGTCCAATGTTTGTCCAGAACCAGTAGTTGAGATCCCGGTCTGAGTTATTCCAAGTCAAGGGAAGGGACAGGGAACAAGACGGAGTTCTCAGTTCCCTGTGATGATTCAGCTGCCCCGGGAGCCAGGAAGCGAGCCGTTCTGAGAGGGCCTGTGCCTAGCGTCTCTGCCCTTGGTTCTTTTCTCAGTTTGGAAGGCATCGGGAGTTTCCCGGAAGTGCCTTTGTTCTCTGCTGAGCACCAGCGAGAGTCACTCCTGTTCTTGGCCTGTTCTTGGCTCACAGCCCACGACAAGTGTCAGCTGGGGTTAGTGACTCCCCGGCTTTGTGAAAGGCAGAATTTCTACCTACAAATCCTGCAGCCTCCCTCTTCCCCTCTGGGCCTCTCTTCCGGACAGCGCACATGCCAGGAAAAGCTAGGGGGCATTGGAGAGAGCCTTCTAGACCTTCCGAACTACAGTGTTCCTCCTTTACATGTAAGGAACTAAGCTAAGGGAACTCTTGACATTTCCATAATGCGGCTATCACCCTACCCTTCCCTCAGCCGATTCACATTTCCCTGTTCATACAGTAACAGACCATGTCGGTGTGGAGTTTGCTTAGGATAATTTCTCAGATTTCACAGTTTGAATATTTTGCTGAATTTTCTCACTTGTAAAGAGTCCATTTTTCCTTTTTCTGGAACAAATGATATGTAAAAAGCTGTATGAACCCCATTTTCATTTGGAAGCTGTTCCATGAAATATATTGTCCAATTTAACAACGGGTCCCATTGTCAAATTTATTCTCAATACCAAGGCCAGTCATAGATTATCAAAACTTGTAGGCTGGTCAGCGTCTATGGGCTTCTGGTGAGATGTTTTACAGATAACATTCTGTATAGGAAGCAATCGTGGCTTCATTCTATAATAGGCAAGGTGCCAGGAAATGCTAAATCAAGTGGCAATCAAGTCCCTAAAGAAAGTCATTTCTGATTTATGGTGATAGCTCCAACAATTCTGCTGAACTTCTTACACATTGAAATGACTACTTAGTTATGTTTTCCATTAGAGCAGAGAACAGCTGGCCTGCCAGAGACCGAGCGTAGCAGCTGGAATGCAGAAGCCCTCATACCATTAACCCCGAAGCCTGAGAAAAAGATTTCTTATTTCCAAAATGTAAGTGCTTGTTTTCCCCCAGCACATCTGACACCCTGAGTCTGTGGTGGCGTTCAGAAAGTGGGAAGCAGCCTGAACTGGGCTGGAGGCAAGGGCAGGAACACAGGAGTCAGGCGTTAGCGCAATGGGGACTGAGCACCAGCAGGAGCTCCCCAAGGACCGGGGTGGTCTGCGTTATTTTTTAATTTATCACAGTTTCAAGAGACTTATCTAGAGCAGTCTCATCTTCCAGCTGCTGGAGCTGCCTGAAACCCTCTAGAGTGTGTGTGTGTGTGTGTGTGTGTCCGTCCACGTGCACGTGTGTGTTTTCTTCTGTGTTCGTATATTTTGCTCCTGGAGCTTTAAGAAGAGCCTAGATTAGTATTGTCCAATAGAGTGTGATACAAAGCACATATGTACTTTCAAATGTTCTAGGAGCCATACTAAAAAAAAAAAAAAAAAAAGGGTAAAAAGAAACAAAGAAACCAGTAAAATCATTTAATATCATTTATTTAACTTAATATATCCAAAATATTATCAGTTCAGCATGTAACCTTCACATAACTTATTAATGGGATTGGTTGCTTTCTTCTCTTCAGGCCAGGTATTTGAGCTCATGTGTGTCTGCCGTGCATTTCACACTTACAGCCCACCTCCTGTGGATGGTGCTGGCAGCTGGGACGGGGGCAGTCTGGGCAGTGAAGAAGAACAAACTCCCCCTGTTTTAACCATTCAGCTCTGCTCTGGTCTGCGTATTTCCCTGGCCCTGAAGCTCCCCCTCTTGGAGGCACCCCTCTACCAGGCCCTTGAAGAATCGTGTGTGAACCATCACTCCTAGCCCTGTGCTACCAACCCACCTCACTAACAGGTCATGCAGAACTTTGTAACTAAAATCCCAGGGCCTGAAAAATACATGTATGGGAGCTCCCGGACATAACAGAATCACATCTGGACTCCCAGGAGAAGGTCGTATCTTTCCCTTGGTCTTCCCTGCCTGCTTCCAATCGTTGTCTCACCCTGTTTCTCCACAAACTCTCTTCTCTTTTCCTCTCTGCTCTCCCCTTCCAGATTCAGCAGGATGGTGGTGGGGCTGCTGGGGGGCATTTCTGGGTCCTGTCCTGGGGAAACAGTTTGCAGAGGGGAGGCAGGGAAGGGCAAGGCCCACTCTCACTGCACTGTCACTCCTACAGCTAAGAGTCTGAAGCTGGACCACTGCCTCTGCATGGGACAACAAAACCAGGCTGGCGGCACTCCCGTGACAGTTCCCGGACACCCACGCCCAGGCAGGTGGCACATCTGAGTAAAGCTGTCTAGGTATCAGATGAGACTGGTGGGCCTGGAAAACACAGGCCCCACCCAGGACATTTAAATTCAGCTTTTAACCCTGTGCAAGCCAAGCAAAACCAGTGGGAGTCCAAGAGTCATCAGCTCATGGTTCCCACTAGAGGGATGTGTCCTGGGTACTCTGATCACAGCTGGTAGGTATCGAGGGACAGCTGCCTTGCCTCCTGCCTCACCCTTTTAGGGATCTGCTGTCTATAAACTGCCAGATGTCAGGTACCTGGTTCATCATCTTCATCTTCATGCACATCAACAGCCATATCACTGACCTTACAACCAACCTTCCAGCCTTACCGACCCTCAGTCCTTGCCTCTAATGGCCCTAAATTCCATCCGGTATCAGACCCTCAAGTGGAGTGAATGCAGCCCGTAACTCAGAGAGTGGCAGGTTGTCTTCTCTAAACCGGTGTCAGGTGCTACTTTCTCCACAACCCTAGGCTGTAGGCACTCAGCAGCCCCAGAATCTGCAGGCTTAGCCCTGCCATCTGGAGAGCAGTCCCTGCTGCTGCTCAGGAGGACCATGCAGCCCAAGGTGAGCCTGGACTCCCTCACAGTCTCTGCACTGTCGGAGTCCCCTAAGCTCTGCCAGGTCTCCCTAGTCAGAATGCAGCATGTCTATCTCCATGTTCCAAATTGCATCCAGTCTACCCGCAGGGCCTGGAGCCCTGCCCAGAGGTCCAGGTGGAAGGACTGATGCTCTGTGCAGTCCTGCCCAGACCCCTTCTCAGGAGGTGAGACTCTGTCCTACACATCCAGCAAGGGGCTAAACAGATCAGGTGGAATGGGAATGTCATTGCCTCAGGCGGAACGAGAATTGTCATTGCCTGCAGGTACTGGAAACTGCTACCATTGCCCAGGCTACCGGAATAGATTTCACCTTCGAAAGTGACCCTGGCCTGGATCCTGCTGCTTCTGCCACACCTATTTCCAGTTTCCTCTTCCTCCTGGCCTCCTTCTGAAGTCCCAAAACGATGTCCTGCCAAGTCACACAGGTAATGGCCATGCCGGCTTCTGAAGCCATCCATTTTGTTTCATGTCTTTTCCTTCTTGGGAGGCAATGAGCTAAAGTGAAGAGAATAAGTGCTTTTCAGTCTGAGTAATTTCATCTTGAATCTTGGCTCCAAGATTTAATCATTCTGTAATTCTTGGGCAAATTGCTTACCATTTTTGAACCTCAATGTTTCTTCATCATCAACATGTAATCAGTCCTACTTCATAAGGTTATCAGGATGATCAAAACAGATCATGTAGGTAAGACACTTAGCACATAGCAGACACGGCTACCTGCTGGCTACTGTTTTGAGTGGACCTGCACTTTGCCTACGTTGTAATTGCCAGCCTCTTAGCTCTTCCCTGTTCCCAATCGCCATTAGGAACCTTTGACCCCCTTTGATCCTGTTCACAGCCTAAATCCCACAAGTTGCTATTTTCCAATGGGCTTGTGCAGACGATCCGGCAACAGTCCTGCCCATCCCCAGCTGCCTTGTCACAGCCTCTGCCTGTGGTTGGAACTCATCTGATTCTTTCGCACTCCCTCACTATCCCCTGCCAAGAAGCCACATCCAATGTTCTGGACGCCTGGATTTGGGGGGCATGAGGCTCAAACATCAGGAGGGCCAGAAGGTGATGAGGGAAATATCCAGTTTCAAAGGGTCTCCAACATGGCATAAGCCACTGTGGGAAGGAAAAGATGGTTTCTCCAAATACAGGCTGGGCAGATGCAGTAAGAGCTCATTGTAAGGATGGTCTGTCCAGTGGTGCCTCTTAATGGGTGCATCATTTATTGAAACCCTATCTGAGCTGTCTGCTTTTGCAGCTGTTGGATCTTGTTCTCTCACTCAGTGGTCATTCAAGAGCTGAGACCTTTTAGGTAATAGATGACCATCGCAGAATGAATGACACTCAACTAGCTCTTAAAACCAACCCCCATATCACAGCTGCAATACACAAAAGTTTATTTCTCACACAATAGTCTATTTGGGTCAGGCAGCCTCCTTCACCTTGCTCTATGTGACCCAGGTCCATGGCTTCCCAGGTCCAACCAGCAAAGACAAAGGAAGTTTACGGGCTCCAACCTGCTCAACCTGGAGGTAACCTCTTCTCACAGCCGCCCACAGGCCACTGGGCGGAACATCTGACCTGACTGTGAGGGAGGCTGGAAAATGAGGGGAGCACAGGGAATGTGGATGAGCCAAGTGCTCTGCTTTGGCATTCATGTGGGAGGGGGTGTGGAGGTTTATGGGCTGAGGGTGCATGCATTGTATGTGTATGCTGTGCTTTTCACACTCCTAAAGTGCCAACAGCTGCTCCTCTACCATTTCTCTGTTTTTGGGGGTTTTTTTTGTTTATTTCTTTTTTTTTGAAGTCCTTGTAATGGTCCATGTCTTGCACAAAGCAGGTGTTTTATAATGTCGTTCGAGTCAGCTCACTCAGCCTCTGATGAAAGTCTCTTACAAGAGGAAAAATAGAAATAGGTGTCATTTATAAACTCTCCTCAGTTTTAGGCTCAATGCAAATAAGCACATCATGTGTATTATTTTATTTCTTTCTTACAGTTGCTCTTTGAAATATGTGCTATTTTTTATCCTTATTTTACAGGTGAAGATATAGGTTTAGAAAGGGGATATAACTTTCCATAGTCAAAAGCAAATAAACTGGACATCTCAGCCAGCCCATCTGCTTGGAGCCCTCTGCCTTAAAGTCACATCACTCCCTGAGATGAAACACCAGCCAGACACGGTGAAGACAGGAGCAAACTCCAGGTTTACAAGTGATAGGATTCCTGTGGATTTCTAATTCAGGTTGAAAATCCATGAAATTTAGAATAATATGGGGATAGTTTACAGACATGTGAAGTTCTCCTTTTACTGTGTATGCTTTACTTACAATGCAATATATAGTATTTCCATTGAGACATCAGCAAACATCCTTAGCCCTGTTTGCTTTTCATGCAAACTAACATTACAGTATGATACAAAGAAAACTGTTTCTTCTTAAGATATTTACAACGTGATCGGGTTTATTTAAATAAAGTCCATTATATACCAGTTTTAGAATTGTCGTTAATTTTAAAAGGCAGTAATATGCCATCAAATTTGTTCCTAAATTTGTACAAGTGTATTTTTCCTTGCTATTTTCATTTTATCATTATTCTCTCCAAAAGTCTGCAAATTGATTTTGGGGAAAATAGGTGGATATACCACACTAAAGTTGCAGACATCTAAATGCCCATGAAGACTTACTTTTTTGACTCAGGCCAGGCCTAATGTCAGCTGCACAAAACCATGAGGCTCATCCCTGGAAAGAAGAATGTTTCCACTTTTACTCCCAGTCCTTCTTCACTGTTCAGCTTCTGCATGAATGTCTCTGTGTGCTTTCATAATCTCACATTACCCTCATATTGTGCTTCAATATTTTTCTAATTTCTAATTTCTAAATTTTCTTTTTAATAAAACTTAAGGACTGCTGAGTTTTTATCCAGGACCAGGAAAAAATAAAAATCAGCACACTGACAATAAAAGTTGCTTTGAGATTGCATCCCATAGGTCACACTTGTTTGGGTGTCCCAGGATACTGCTGTATTTCTAGTGATTTCCTTCAATCACTGCCAAGAGGAAGGCTTGGATTTCCAGCATACTTTTGCTCCCAGAAAGCCAGTGCACAGGGGAGCAGCTTGGCCCCCGACCATCTTCAACTCTGGTGCAGCCCTGCAACAGAGCAGAGGAGGCCAGACAGAACCCAATCCTGAAGCCAACCCCCCTAGGTTTTGCTCCTGGAGCCTCTTCCTGTGTCATTGTCATTAACCTGTTGTGATGCTCCAGTTGTCATTCCCAGAAATCCAAGCACTTGGTCATCTGTGCCCAAGTCAAATTGCTTGCTCTGGGGCACGCCTTCTACTCAAGGAAAAATGAGACCTCAGGAAAATCCGATCCATTCCAGACCAAGCTCCCAGCCCAAAATAGTGCGCTGCTGCTGAGTGTCTGGACGACACCTTGCCTTCTCCTCAGAGGTCTGCTCCAAGGGCCTTGACCTGGCCACCGGCTTCATGGAGTGAGCAGGCCACGCATGCCGTACATGGAACTTAGGAAGTGCTTGGTCATCTTTCCATTCAAGGTGAGTTTGGTTACAGCTTGAGTAGGTGTAGCTCCACCTAAGAGAACTATCAACCAAATAATTAGGGCTTAGAAATACTCCATTTCACCCTCCAATTGTCCATCCCAGGGCACCAGCTGAAACGTAGAGGAAACTTGAGGACAGGCTCACCTGGATGGGAGCATGCCCCTGTTTGCCCTGTTCTCTTCATTTTCAGGATTTTTCTGGCCCTGAGCTCTGTTTGTGGCAACTATAACTCATGCCTTTCCCCTCCTTCAAGCCTCCAATCCCACACACACACACACACACACACACACACACACACACAAAAGCAATGAAACATCTAGAACAGGATAACAATATCAATCATTTAATATTTGAGCAATGCTTCACAGTGGACAAAGTGCTTCCTGTGTATTTCCTCTTTTGACCCACATAATAACACTAGGAGGATTGTAGGGAAGACGTTAATAGTCCCATTCTTCAGATAGAAATAAATGCATTGTCCCTTGAGAAACCTAATGCTGGAAATCACAACTTGATTGACCTTTCAGAGGCACCCAGTGCAATCCAAGTCCTCTGACCTGGAAGCATAACATGCTCTACTGGTATTCACAGCACATGTCATCCAGAAGGTGGAAGCAGATCCCAAAGCGGTTTTGCCCACTGCAAAATTCATACATCCGGTGGTCTGGGTGATGCTGGGACATTTCTTCTGGAGTGAAAGACATGCTCTTGCACCTTGTACTCCCCACCACTAAGACGGCATCTGGCTTTTGCCAGGCCTCATGGATTTCTGATGCCATATAAATCACACCTGGAAGTACTGATCTGATCTGTTTATCATGTGACCTAGTCAACTGCCAACTCTGAGTGGGGCTCAGAGCCAGAGAAGGCTCTACTGCAGGCCCTGGCTGTGTGCAGTTTGCCCCTAGGCCACACAGCATCCGATGGAGCACGCCTCTGCTCCAGTCTCTGGAAAGCCCCAGTAGCAGAGCTGCAGCATGGGCCCCTGGGGATCTGGGTAGGGCTGCCCCTTCTGTGGCAGGAACTCTCACATTTGAAGAGCAGCTCCAGGCACAACACTGGGCCCTGGTCTACAGGAGCTCCTGGGCAGGGCTGCATGCAGTCGGATGCCCCCTGTGCCGTATGTTTGGGTAGGTACAGCAACAATCCTTTGCACGTAGGAACTGGGATGCTCAAGATTCAGCCCATGCAGACCCAGGGGAAGAGAATATGATGTGCACAGATGGCCCAGGCTCCCGTGCCCCTGCCTGTTGCACTGATACCTTGCTCTCAGCTGGCATCGGCAGACTCCAGGGCTTCCCTGCAATCAGCTGCCAGGGGGACGGAACTGGGCCTGGGCCACACAGGGCAGCCCTGTGCATCAGCACCAACCATCAAAAGTAGACTGCCCACGCCTGCCACTCAGAAGTCCCTGGAGGACGAAAGTGAAGGAAATTCCTCCTTGTTGGCAGAGCTGCAGCCGCACTAGAGGTTGACCAATCTGTATGGAGAAGGCACCTGAGGTGTGTGCCCGCACATACTCCTGGAGGAGCCAAGGGGTAGGGCTGGCTGGGCAGGAGCCTGGGAGAAGCCGACTGGAAGGTCGGGCAAGGTAAGTAAGGTGTGGAAGTAAGCCCAACCCTCTGGTCACCCCCATGATCCCTGGGGAATGTGTGCTTCCTGCCACAGCAACCTTAGGTTGGGCTGATCAGAGGCCCTGGGTTAGGGGTGGCAGAGAGGGTGGAGGTGGTGGTCAAGGGAAAAGCTTCCACTAAGTGAGCACAACAGGGCATCTGCTCAGCTTAAATTCGTGATTCTCACCCAGTCACCTTCGGGCCACAGATGCCAGTGAACCAGCAGGCAAGAGGGAACTGGTGAAGGTCCTGGATCCTGATGGCTGTGAAGAGCTAGAGTTTCCACTTCCTAATGGAATCAAGGAGGAGTCTTATATGGAGTGCGGTGATTTCCTGGGGTTTCCCTTGGGGCCTCCACATCCAGTGAGGATGGTGAACAGGCAACTGCAGCCCCTGCCGCCCGACAAGGGCAAGACAACCAAGGCCTTAGATATTCTGGGTAAGAAGATCAAAGGTCCCAAACCCGGAAGCTACCCAGATCAGCCCAAGCACTGGCTGGGGTGGGGGACATCCAGATACGGAGGTGGAGGAGAAGTTTGTGAACACCGGTTATTGCCACACAGCCATCTGCACTAGTGGAGACAGGAGCTTGTTTCACTGATACTTTTAAGTTAAATGTTTGCAGAGGTTATAGCCAGCCACCGCCTTGAAACTGATGCTGTGGCAGATTGGATTTAACAGATAACGTGAGTGAGCGTGACTGTCCCTGGGTGGACTGCATGGAGCGTCTCTGGGGCACCCTGTCAAATGCCCTCAGCTGCACCTGCCACTCATTCCAGCTATGCTCTGTGGGACAGCCACCCTCAACTCCATGCCATGTGCCTCTGGTCTTCTGCCCCAGGGTTTCCCTGTGAACCTGCTTAGTGCCCACAGGTACACAACCCAGAGTTTAGGAGGATCACACCCCATGTGGGGCTCTTTGACCAATGGGGAATGGGAGCTGGTGGGTAAACATTTCCCTCCTTCTCTTCTGTAGAAAAGTCCCCGAGACCCCTGTCACATGGCTCCTTCGCTGTCCCTGGGATCAAGCACACAGTTGCCTGCTGCAGTGACTGACACAATAACAGACTTTGCACAGCTCTTCTTCTTTCCCTGCTTCACACCCCCGCCTTGCTCCTGTGCCCTGGACAGCACTTTCACTCCTGCCTCCCTTTCCGGCCATGCTTTCTGGGGAAGCCAGGTGTAGTCATTTAATTTTAGGTGTCAACTTGACTGGACTAAGGGATGCCCAGGTAGTTGGTAACACATTATTTCTGGGGGTACCTGTGAGGCTGTGTTTGGAGAAGATTAGTGTTTGAATTGGTGGGCTGAGTAAGCAGAGCCTCTTCACTAGCGTGAGCAGGCACCAACCAGCCACTCTGCTGAGTGCCCAAATGGGACAGAAATGAGGAGGAAGGGCATTGTCTACTGTTTAAGCCAGGACTCCCACCCTCTCCCACCCTCGGACATCAGTGCTCCTGGCTTCTGGCCCTCTGGGCCCAGACTGAATTGCACCTGGCTCTTCAGCATGCAGATGGCACATCAAGGGACTTCTCAGCCTCCACAGTCACGTGAGCTAGTTCTCATAATAACTTTACCTATATGTGTACATATATCTCCTAGATGCTTGTGTTTCTCTGGAGAACCTATTATACCAGGACAAGTCATGTTACCCATTCCTAACTACCACTGAATTTGACATTCAAGTCCTATACTTTGAGTTTTCAGTCCCTCTATCAGCTCATTTCCAGTGCCTTCGCCTCCATTCCACTTTATCAGCTTGCCTCTGGTGCTTCCTAGAACACTGTCATCACCCATGACTGCTGTATTCATGATTAAATGTAGACATCCCTCTCTCTTCCTCAACCTTCCCTCAGTCCTTTCAATCAGTCCTTCTGCACCAAAGACTTAGCATCATCAACACTTTCTGGCTTGGGAACCATATCCTTTCCTGTTATCTAGCAGCCTCCTCTTGTCTTTTATTTGTTGGTTTTTTTAACCCAGTTAAGATTCCAGAGAACAATATTTCTTTCACACTTGCCAATTTCCATAATCCCCTTATTCTCCTATCTCATTTCTTGAAAAAATCCCCTCAGAATTAATAAAACTGCTATATTAGTCCATTTTCATGCTGCTGATAAAGACATACTTGAGACTGGGAAGAAAAAGAGATTTAATTGGACCTACAGTTCCACATGGCTGGGGAGGCCTCAGAATGGAGGCAAAAGGCACTTCTTACATGGCAGTGGCAAGAAAAAGTGGGGAAGAAGCAAAAGTGGAAACCCCTGGTAAACCCAACAGATCTCATGAGACTTGTTCACTATCACGAGAATAGCACAGAAAAGACCAGCCCCCATGATTCAATTACCTGCCCCTGGGTCCCTCTCACAACACGTGGGAATTCTGGGAGATATAATTCAAGTTGAGATTTGGGTGGGGACACAGCCAAACCATATCATCTGCCAACTGTTTTGTGCTTACATCCCAGGTGCTAATCACTGTTAGAGAAAAACCACAAAACTGAACAATTTGGAGCCATTATAATAGCTCACCGCATCTATTGAGAGCGTAATCCTCGCCAGATATTCTTCAAAGTGCATTACATACAATTATCTTGTTCTGTGCCCTGCATCCTGCTGGAAAGCTGCCCAGAAGCCCTGCCCTCCAATCTCTGAAATGCATTCTCAGAAAACTTTCTCTCCTGCTGCTCAGAGAAAACAGAAGTCATCAGCTGAGAACTTGGTAGACGTCTTCCTTCACATTTCAGTGTCATTCAATGGTGATTCGTTTCTTCTAATGTGAAGACTCTCTTTGGCTCCCTTAACCCCATCCTCTGCTAATTTTTATTCTGCCCCTTTGACACCCTTTCAGTTATCTATCTTATCCCTCTACTCATGCTTTGTTTTATATTTTGATTGAGGGAAAAAACAAACTTAGTTTCTCCTGTACTCTCACAAAGCAGAGTACTTCTGACACCAGGTTCTGTAGGGGATTTTTTCAGCACACCAGGCGAGTAACCAATCCTGCAGCAGTGGACAACAGCTGTGTGTCCTCCAATTCAATTCTGACACTCTATCGCCAGTGGTAGCATCAGATCCCACACGGTGAAGGCTCGGTCCCACAAGATTGCTCCCGACTTCCGATGGTGATTATAAGCCCCAGGTTATTTTACTTGTGTTTCTGACAAACTGGCTATAAATTGGATTTCCCATGATCCCCTCCTCAGTTTAGTTAATTTGCTAGGAGGGCTGGCAGAATTCAGGGACACACTTATGCTTAGCAGTTTATTACAAAAGATATTTTAAAGGATACAGATGAAGAGATGCATAGGGCAAGGCATGTGGGAAGGGATGAGATGATTCCATGCCCGCCCCACAGACCACCTTCCAGGAACCTCCATGTGCTCAGATATCCAGAAGCTCTCCAAACCCAGTCTTTTGGGATTTTT